TAGATTAATCTTCTAAATTTCCTACATATTTTTAACTGCCTACTTCATTCATGTAACCCTGTCATAAATTTTTAGTTTCTTTATATGTGCTTAATGTTATTCTAACAGGTTTAGTTTTAGAGTACTTTATCATAGGCCTACTTTTAATAGCCTAAGAAATGACCAGAAAGTTAGGTATTTTTATTCCTGCTGAAACTTTATTTAAAATGTCACAGTGAATAATGTGAAAGGATTTTTATCTGCTCCCGTGAGCCCAAAGCCCTTGAAATAAAAATATTATTTCTCTGGCTGTAGAGACAGAAGCAGATTTCTCTTTTGTTGTTGTTGGTTTTCCCCTTCCATCTAGAATTAATATTAGCTTAGCTAGTGGAGTGCTGAGGATTTGTAGCCCAAGGCAACTGCTGCATCTCATGCAAACTTTTTCTGACGAGAGCTGAAGTTTAAAAATGCATAACTCTAGATTTCCAGAGAATTATGCTTGGCTTTAATGACTCTGAGTGAAGATTCATACCTAACTAGGAATTCAAAAATTATATCCAAAATTTGGGGTAAAATCTTTGTCATTTATTACATTTTTTTTTTCATTCCCAAATAGGCTGAGTGCCTTGGATATTGTGCCCACTATGTACTTTGAACACAGAGGATTTGGGAAAGCTCTTTGTCTTATCTGACACATAGATAATGTATACTCATTTATTGTATTAAAGATCCTTTTATCCTTCATAAAACTTGACTCATAAAACTCTACAGCAGAGCACTTTAAAATGTATGTACATCAGGTACATTTTACTCAAATTGACTACTGGCATTTCAATGAAAATAGTTGACCCTATCGTTTATTTGTTGAGTATATGTATATATGATGGTACTAACTGGAAAATGGTATTTTCATTTTGGATTTACAAAACAAGAAGCATTGTGCAAAAAGTCCTGTGAAAGAAATATTCAAGTGTTTGGTTATAAACATCATGTAGAACACTTGGGAATAAATACAGTTGTGATTTACCACTTATAAAAATGTTTTTGAAAGCACTTACCCAAACCGAAGCAATGTGTCTAGTGTTGTGATGTATAGTTAATTAGAGAAGCAGCATCAAGGCTAATCGCTTTTTAGAACTACTTGAAACACTCAAAGGGGATTATTATTTGGCTGCCGAGGGCCATGTGTTTCCTTACTCTTGAAACTTGAACAGCTTGTCAACTGCCTATAAATAATCTTAGACATTTTTTGATGGAGCAAATTTGAATATGTAGCTAATTTACATTATTAATTCCTAGAAACTGGTATTTTCTTCATTTTGTGAAGAGGTGTATCCTTCCTGATAATAAGGGGCTGGTGCAAAGATTTTGATGCACTGAAAACACATATACCCCATACACATGTATACATACACACACTCACTGCCCCCCCCCAAAATTGCCTTCAGAATGTTATATTCTGTAACTCTGTTAATAAAATCAATTTACAACAAAATATTAAAAGGGAAACTCACTGATGATTTTTCCATTACCTTAAATCTTCCAAATAATAATGATGATGATGATGATGATGATGATAAACCCTTTAGCAGGTTTTTTAGTAGGGCCTTATAAGTATGGGAAGACAAGAAGTGTTCTCTGATACTATTGATAACCTACTCACTGACGTTTAGTTTCAGTTAGACTTTCTAATGAAACACATTAAAAGAGCTACAGAAAACTTGACTTTGATTTATATTCTTTTAAATAAAAAGGGTTTCTTAAAAGGCTTGCAACATGTTATCTGTTAACATGAATTTTAAAAGAACGATTATGAATGCATAACAAAATAGCCAAACAAAACATTGCTTTGAATTGCTGCACAAATAACTCTGATTATAACTGTTATGACCTAGAAAAGAATCATAAAAACATTTTTCTTTTTGGCAAGATATGAGTTGCTGTAGAATTATACTAGTTCTTTGGTCCCACTTTCCAAATAAATAAATATATAATGCAATGTAAACTTAGAATCTTTTATTTATTCATGAGGTGGAATTTAATACTATTATGATTTCTAGATTTTATGAGTCATATGTTATGCAGTGTTTTGCACTAACTTAGTTGGGTAGCAACCACACTTCACAAATCATAGTTTCATTCTTTACTGTCTCACTTGGGGTGTACATACTAATCCCTCTCACTGAAAAGCGCATTCATTTCCGAAATGATAAAGTAATGGAAAGTGAGGCAATTGTGTTAATGTCAAATGATTAGAAGAAGCACCAGAAGTAATGGGTGGGGGTAAGGGGGGGGGAGTGGAGAAAGAAAGGCCATTTCAAAACATGATTGTGTTTTAAGCCCATGCATATGGCCACAATTACAGTCACAACATAATTTGGCAACGGTAGCAGAATTAGATTTAAACAAATTGATGTTACACTGCAGTAATTCAGAATGAGCTTGTTGCATTTATAAACCATAACAAGAAGCAGAGTGAATTAATAAACCCTTCTTGTCACTAAAAATAAAAAAGGGAATAATTGCTGAGATAGAGTTAACTTAACAGATGACTATAGTCAGCATCCTTTCAGCCTAGATACAGGAAAGTGAAGGTCACCCCATCTCAGATGACAAAGAGGGAACATTTTGTTGGTAAACAAATTAATCTTTTGAAAGGTCGCCATTTGTTTAAGTTTTTATCCAGTTCTTGTCATCTGGAATCAGAGATTGACTGTCATTTCACGAGGCAGGGGTGCAGTGGAAGCAGACAAAGCTGCTTCTGTATCTATCAGCACTCCTTGACAAAACTCAGTGCCTGATTGGGATGCTATGGGCTACTGGTTTACAGCTGTCTCCGGACAAGAATGGAGGCCCACCCCTGAATTCCAATAAGATGGGTCTGCGTATTCCGCCTGCTGTAAGCTGGCCTTCTGCCCACAAGTAAAATGTATTGTAGTTCAAGCCAGCAATTATCTCTTTTACTTCCTTCTGTGCTGCTTCTGTTCCCTTTTTCCAAAAACAGATGTGGGTATTCACTCAAGTTCTGCATCTATTCTTTCTCACACCTGCCAGGCCAGAATTTTGACAGAGGTAGAGTTTAAGGGAGCCAGCAGACAATGATCAGATGTAATTTCTTTGAGAAAAGCTTAAAAAGAAAAGGTTGATTTTTTTTCCCCCCAGGAAATGTGGAGTCAGCATCTTGGTCCCCCTCCCTTTTCCCAGGAGCATGTGGTAAATTAAATTAGTTGAACAAAAGGAAATAGCTTTAAAGACATTTAGAAATGCCATATCCTATTTATGATACACGGTCATTACCCAAGGACTGCGATGGCACACACAACACCCTTAGGTCTGTCATGGAAAGAGATCTTTCTCTTCAGGTTGCTTAGGAAGACTCTTCAAGGGAACAATGACATTTCATGTTCTTGATTAACAGCCTATAAAATGTATTCCTTCACGATGGTAATGGTGGTGGTGGCAGAAGTGGTGGCGTATTGCCTTTGAGGGTTGTTGCTTTTTAGAATTTTAGTTCTGCATTTGGAGTGCTGGGAAAGTTGAAGAAAGTGATGTAACAATTGTCATTGGCTGGTATCTGGTTCTCTCACTAAAGCCCATGACTCTGGGAGGGGCCAGAGGCAATTAGAGGGTCTACTCTCATCAGATAATGTTCATAGAAAACCTGGCTGGAATGAGTTCTCTGGGTTCTTGAGAGTGCTGTGTATCTTGAGTTTCCGTGCGAAGATCCCGCGTGCCTTCCCAAACCAACCCTGTGCTGAACTCCAAGCATTTTTTGGCTCTAAGCATAGTCATTCAGGGTCAGCCTGTCTGGTGTGAATGGGGGCTCTAGATGGGGGCTCTCCCAGAAACAGCTTCCATCTCCTCATGTGTAAAAGGTCCATAGTAAAATGGTATCATAGAGTCGTACTGAGCTTTAAATGAGATATTTCAAAGCACTCCAAAGGTCCTGGTACAAGTAAATGCTCTGAAAGTATTAGTTATGACTATTGGCAATTTTCACATATTGCATTGTGCCACGTTTTATACAGTCATCTAAAACTTACATTATTGGAGGAGTTGGGGGAGAGAATCAGAATATTACTGAGGTCCCCTTCCAGGGAGTCTACTTACTATTTCCTATGATGATGCCATTTTCCCTACACAGATATGAGGACAGGGACCTTGTTGTCTATTTTTTAAATCTTCTACTGCACCAAGCAGTGTTTTGCACATAATAGGAACTCCGGAGAGGACTGATTTGTCTCCTCATCTGTCCAGCATCTGCAGCGAAGCTATGTAACCTGATGCGGAGTCTAGAAGTGAAGGAATGATTCTTCTGGCCCCTGGTAGCCTGGTGGCACAGGGTACCCTCCCACTGGGCCATCTGATAGAGTTTACCTAGTGCAACACCCTTGCTCCTGGGCTATTGTAACAGCCGTGCCACTAACGAGCTGTTTCCAGGGGCAAGTGACTCTACCTTGTGCATTCTCATTTCTCTGCTTTATAAAACAGGGGGGCTAGATGGGTGGTGGGCTGGTGTGGTGGGAAGGGTTTGGAGTCGAGTGGATCAGAGTTTGGGTCCTAGCTGCCATTTTCCAGGTGTGTAACCCCAGGTAAGCAAATTTGCATTTTGGTTCCTCAGCTTCCTTTTATGTAAAGCCAGGACAATGGTGCCTACTAGGCAAGGGTGTTATGTGGCTTATAGATAATATATGAACATTGCTAGCACATAATAGGCACATAATCAGGGTCCTGCCTTTCTGAAAAAAATGAATTTGTATTAAAAGTCTTCTACTTCCTTCTGCCTTCTTCTAAAACCTGTGCATTCATAGAAGGATCTGGTTTGGCTCCTTTCACACCCCAGTATAATGAGCGATAAGGCTGAATGCTCTGGTATTCAAATTGGTACAAAGAATTCCAATGAGTTCCAGGGAGGCTGTAAGCATTTAATTCATATTTCATTTTTATGATAAATATTTAAAATGTTTTAAAGTGTAATAAAGAACAATACATGCATACTTAAATTAGATACCAAATTTTAATGCATTAGATAACATCAGTGTGTTAATTTGTGCTGTCAGGTTAACTCTGGGAGCACAGGGGCACGTGTGTGTGCATGCGTGCTTGTGTGTGCGTGCACATGTATATTTGAATTTTTTATAAAGGTGGGTTTTATTAGATAAGGTGCATATTTGTACTAGTCATATTTTGAAATTTATATCTACTCATGTAAACTCCTGTAATAATCATACAAATAAATAAGTAAAGATCAAATGAGCTAATACATGTCAAGGTCTGAAAGCAGTGCCTAGCCCCTATTAAGCATTTAATAAACATTAACTGGTATTAGTATTATAACACATGTTGCTATCCATTAAAAGCCAGGCAAGTGCTCTGGTGCACAAATTTGGCACAGCATAATAGTCAACTGTCCAATATAATAGCACATGTTACATCATGATAATATAGCATTATAGATTGTGTCATTGCTTATTTTTAAGTTTGGGTTGGTTCTTACCTGATTTGAAATGTGCCGTACAATCTTTACTTGGCATTGCAGGGTTGCAATGTTACTTTATTTGGCATCGCAGGACTGCAGATAAAAAGATCAGCAGTAAAGCATCATCTTAAAATTTGGACTCGACATACAAAACAAAATTAAATTGTTTTGAAACTGGGTGAACATCTGAAAGAGAAGGGTACTTGCTGAGACACATGAAAAGACATTTAAATGGGACATGATGGGACATCTTAAAATGTTATAAGACACATTTGAGAAGTACTTTTGATCATTCAACCCTTCCATGATAATAGCATTTATTAAGTGTGCCAGAGACTCTGCTAAGTGCTTCGTGTACACGATGTCATTTTTAACCCTTACACATATAAAATAGATGCAATTTTTATAACCATTTCACACTTGAGGAAACTGAGGCTGCAATTTAGCTATTTGCCTAAGGTTATGAAGTAAGTGGAGCGTCAGGATTCAAATTATTTACAAAATCTATTTGTCAAATCTCCCCAAATTGAGTACTTAACAACTACTCCTTAATTATTAAGGAAAATGAGCAGTTGTTAGATACTGTTAATGATTCTATTTTGAAACAAAAAATTCTTGCTCTTCCTTAAAGCTTCTGAATTATTTTAATTGAAGAAAATCATGAGATTTTAAGTACCATAACAAATTGTTAGCTATTTGAAATTTCTTATCTATTTACATGAGGATTTTCTCCACCTTGTGCAGGCAAAATAAAATGCAGAAATAAACTGTACGCTGCAATGGGTGTAAGATTGCAGTTATTACCTGTAATTCTTGATTTCACAATTTGCCTTCATCAAAAGAGCCTCATTATTTCTAGTGTTGATTTACATGTATGTATAAATATATGTAACTAATATATATACTTGTTATATGTAATTCAACATATAAAATGATACCAAATTCTTATAAAACTTGGATTTACTTACATTTGAGCATTCTATTTAAGGTTGCATTTTAAAAATAGATTCTACTGCTGAAAATAAATTTAAAAAATCTTTGGCGTTAGAGTATTACCTTTCCCATGGGCTTTTGCTTTTTAACAAGAGTAAATCCTCTATTTAATTAAACCAAAGGAGTTAGACTCTATTAAGGGATTTCAAGCATGAGTGGACAGGGAGAAGAGGGATTTGGGAGATGAAGGAAGAGCGACTTGGCATTGCCCTGAAATCATCCCAGGCCAGTGGCCACCTGCTGCTAGCCCTGCGTCCGGGGGCGATCCGGTGCCTTCGCTCTATGTGACTTGAGCTTCGGACTTGAGTTTGGTATTTGTTTGACTTCATATTAAGTAAGAGGTTATGTTTCTAAACTCATCATTCAATTTTGATGAGCGAAAAATTAGGCAGATGGAGGAGACTGAGTCAGCTCTATGACAGGTTTAAATCACAAGGGGTCCAGGGATAGAACTGTATTTCAATATAATTGGTGTTATAATTATAACACCAATTATATAACGTTTTTATAAATGCACAAAATAATATTTTTTTGTGCATTTATAAAAATGTTATTCTGAGAAGGCACCATAAACTTCACTGGACTGCCAAAGGGGTCCGTGGCCACCCAATAGTTAGAACTCCCTCTGACAGATCTCCTTAACATTCACACACATGTCCAGTGTGGGGCAAAGTATGTGGCAGAAAAGAGAAGTAACTTAAAAACTCTACATTCCTTATGGAGGAGAGATCCACTCCTCGTAGTTGATGGTGCAGGAAACCTACTAAAAAGTGGATATATCTAGACTGCCACTCTAGATTTTCATAAGAATTGTATCTTCATGAGTAAAAATATATAACTTCATGCTTTCATAGGACTACTGATGCTTTTCTGTTGCAAGGAGGAAAATGGAACAGCTACAAAAGTGGTAATGCTTGCAATATTATAGTAAGCGCTCTGTTTAAAATGAAGCAAAAGAGAAATACTATATATAGCAAGTAGCACAATAGCATTAGCCACAAGAGAAATGGGTCTAATAGAAATGTTTTTTATCATGGCCCAGGTTAATTTTCTACAGAGAGGTACTTGAGATGAATAAATACTATTGCTGTGTTCTCCAATATTCTAACCCATTGTACCTTAAACTGTACTTGAATTCAAGTATGCATTCCTAGCCTTTTAAAACACTTTGATAGAAGTAAGTACCCATAGACTAGAGTGATTCACCCTATACTTTAAAAGCATAGCCTCTGAATCAGAATGTGTAATGTAAGCCTAGTAGATATTTATTTGGAGGAGATCTGTCTCATTAGGCCTACTACAAAGGACACTCACCTGCAGCTTACATCTGTTTCTTTGATAACACTCATTAGACTACACTCCTGTTTGGGGCCTTGGTCTTGTAGATCAACTTCATTCAACATGTTGCATTGTTCCTGTCCTTATTTTTCTTATTTAACACTCAGAGCTGGGGACAGGAGTGGGGGAACACATCTCCTTGTCACTACTCTGTACTTCCTACATAAGTAATTGTACTACCCAGGGGAGGGGAGAAACCCTGGCTGGAAGGAACAGGATACATCAGGAGGAGAATGAGAAAAAGATACGAAAAGATGTGAGAAGGAACCAGTCCATATGAAAAGTGTTCTTGGGGGATTTCTTGGCAAGATACCCCGCTTCCCTTATCTCCCTGTGTTTCCTAAGCCACTGGAGCCACACAGAGCAAAAGAATTCTTCTTTCCCCATGCCTGGCTGGTTATGAGGCCCAGACATGTCTGTTGGTTATGGTTCAGTTTTACAGTGAGCCCTCCCTTAACGTCATCGATAGCTTCCGTGACTTGAAGTGAAACAACGCGTAACAAAACCAATTTTACCATGGTCTAATTGATGTAAAGAAGAGTAAGTTCCTATGGCATCTCATCAATGTTACAACAAAACAACGCTGAACAAAACATTATTCAAGAACCTGCTGTACTAACAGGTCACATAGGCTTACCTGGGGACATAACCACTTGGTTTAAGATGTTCCTAAGAAAACTCTTTTATGAATTTCAAAATACCCTTTTCTATTTCTAGGTTAAAAGGGTAAAATCTGTAGAAGTTTATCAGGAGAAGTTGTAAAGTGAAAAAACAGGCACTCTCACCCAAGCGAGGTAGCTGACCACCAAGAAAATATTACCCTGACATCCTCTCTTCCACCCATTTAAAGATATAATTGATACCTAATATCGGATTATTTTATATAATGGTAATTTAGGGGGAAAGGAGATGGGCTCTTTCAGCAAAGGATTTTCAAAACCACAGCCGTCTCATTATGGAATTATCATTTAATCTAAATTGAAGTCCCAGGGGAAGTACCTGTTACCATCTTCCCACAGCTTTGGTTTTATTATTCCATTTACCTATAATTTTAAGTGGAGGACCTACACTTTCATAGAAGGGAAGATAATTCCCCCCACAACCTCCATTTTCTCATTTTGAACACCTGCAGGACACCTAGCAGTGCCTCTGCTCGGTGCTGCATTTTAAACTGTTACTTGCACAGGAGGCTGCATTTCAGGTAATAGCACTTGTGAGTGCTTCTCTGTGTTGGGCATAGTGTTAAGTACATTACACACAGATTATCTCATGCGATCCTCACAGTAATCCTACAAGTTAAGTACTATTACTACTTTCATTTTATATTTTGGGAAACTGAGGAAAAAGTGGTTAAATAACTTGCCCAAAGTCACGCAGCCAAAGTTCAAAGGGTCATAATTCAAGCTCATCCAGTCTCCCTTCCACACTGGCATTCTTAATTCTTAGTCTGTACAACCTCCGGGGAGCTCTGAGGATGGTGATTTGACATGCATCCTAGGGATAGATCTGGGACGCAGCCAAAAATTACTTCTCAATGACCAAGGAATTTGTGGAGAAATTTCTCTGCCTTGGTCTGGGAATAGAAGCAAAAGATCAAACTACTTAGTAAGAGGCTACGTTAACTCAAGATTAGAACAAGAGGAGCTGGTGCTTTCTCCCCCAGCTTTATTGAGATTTGATTGACGTATAGTATTGTGTACATTTAAGGTGTACAATGTGATGATTAGATATACATGTATATTGTGAAATGATTAGCACAATAAGATTAGTTAACACCTCCATCACCTCACATAATTACCTTTGAGTGTGTGTAGTGAGAACATTTAAGATCTACTCTCTAGAACTGGTACTTTTAAGATGAAAACTTCCCCCCAGCTAGACTGTAAACCCCTTTAAGGGCAGGGACCATATCTCCAACATCAAGCATAGTGTCCAATCTGGTCAGAATCCAATATAAATTTTCTATGGATTGTTGTGTATGAAGTTAATGGCTTTGAATAACAACTTGTTAAAGACCTGTGTAATTGAGTTAGGTTGTGTCAAGTTAAGTAATGAAATACCATGTACCTCATTTGACTACATTTGTAGAGAACTCTTTTGGGCCATAAAAATGTCTTCCCACATCTCTTTAAGGAGAATTAATTTTCCTTTCCCTAGATCATCGTTGCATGCTTTTAAAGCTTGTACATGCTATGCCTTGAATTTACTGAGCGATGTCAAAGAACAGTTGAATAAGTAAAAAGATATATTCCTGAAAATGAAAAATGATTATAATAAGAATGCCAGTTCTTTCCAAATTAATCTTTCCATCTAATGCAATTCCAATAAAAATTCTTATGGGTTTTATTTGGTTTGCATGGAGTATTAATTCTTTTCAACTTGACAGAGTTCGTCATCTTGAAAAATAAGTGGGCAAAGACTTTATTTTTTTTCATGAAGAAGACAAATGACGGTGAACTTTTCATACTAGTTATTAAAACTATGCTATAATTATAATGATTATAATAGCATCCTATGGGTAGATAAAGAAACAGATCCATGGAATAAAAAAGTGAGCACAGGTATTGACCTTAGAATAAAAGATAACTTAGAATGTCGTAAAGATGACAGTATAAGTCAGTGGGATACAGGGAGAGCTTGTTAGATAAATGGTGCTGAGTCATTTGGCTAATGATTTGGGGGAAAAGCATTAAGGTAAATTCTAACCTTACATCCTATACCAAAGAAAACTCCAGATGGATTAAAGTAAAATGTTTAAAAAG